CAAGCTTGTTCGGTCAAGATGGCTGGATATTGGCCTCGTTCTTTTTTTTGCGTGTTTATGGACCTCGACTCCGTCTCGGTCCATAAACGCGCAAAAAAAAGAACTTGGCCAATAGCCAGCCATCTTGACCGAACAGGCTTGGTCAATAACCCATATGTATGGGAGGCAATTTCAGGCAGTTTCGTATAGTTTTTTCCCAAAATTGCTGTGCATCCACATGGATTACACTTGCAATGCAAGAAGGAAAAAAGGGCTATTGCCTGAAATTGCTTGACATACATGTAGCTACATGTTGAATTGCATTGTAATGCACATGAAACAGTTAACATTAAAAAGGGCTATAATTTATTTCCCGAAAGAACAAGAGAGGATATTTACTCCAAATTTTGGAGTGCTCCTTCCCTTTCTGAGATAGTGATACCCTAACCGACACCAGACGGATTTAAATCGTCTACGAGAAGCCCCTAACCTGCGAACAGGCTCTCGGCGAGGACGGAAAAAATTCGGCGAGCAAAGCGAGCTGACGAGCGCGAAGCTGCCAGAAGCCCCCTTTTGCCCACGGGTGACGACTGTTCCTCTCGCGCGTTCTTTCGCGTCACGCGCGACGGACAGAGCAAATGGCGAAGTCCAAGATTTGAGCAATCTTTTTGCCACTTAGGAGTGGAAAAGAATTAATTCATTGAGAGCGGCGCAAAAGCTCATAATTATATTTCTTAATCAGGTATTGTCCGCTAAATCAATTTTAACTGAAACGTAAGATCGAAACGTGAGTGAAACTAAACTCATTTAAGCCCCGGTTATTCAACCAATCAACGGATGTAAACACTGTCTGTCGACTAGATAGTTCGTTTTGTCAACCGCAATACCCACTTGATAGCAATTTTTTCGGTGGATTGCGTTACCCACCCCGTCATCAAGTATGTAGCGAAACGGATAATTCTGTAGCGGAGTTCAGTCCTAGCTGCAAACATACTTTGTAGCGTAGCGACCCGATAACGAAGAAGCTAACCCTAAACCGAGATGTTTTGACTCATTCCAATTTGTTTTCGATGTTAGTAAACATGCTGGCGGGTGTTCAATCGGCAGGCTACAACCCGCGGATAAACAGACCAAGCACCTGTACTACTGAAATCTTATTGGTCGTCGTGTGTAAAGAGACTGCTCAATGTGTTTCGGGCTCGTCCCGCATTTTCCAGCCCCCAGCGTGAAATCCATTGAAAAATTAAAAAACTACCCGTATATTTGCAGACAAGAAAATTGAACGGAAGGCAGAGTTTTCATGTCGCGTTTAATGCGCAGTGAATTGTGAAGCATTTTGAGTACACGACCGGAAACCAGTGGTTGAAAGCTTTATTTACTTCTTGATATAAACTCTGGAATATAAGGTAATTAATAACTAGCGATGATTGCAAAGCTATTTTAATATTTAGGTAATTCAATGCTAGGATGAAATTTCAGGTGCAGTTCGATCGGTTGTCATTCATAATGCGTCTTAAAATTCAACATTGGCATTAGTTAGATCATAAACGGTATTTTCCTTATTTCGTTTCAAATTTACCTTTTAGTCTGCGAAGTTTAACTATCGTTCGGCGAGAATTTCCCCTATTATTTTGCTGTTTACAAAGGTCTTGTCAAACTCGGGCGTGGTAGAAAATGTTATGAAATACACATGCTTTGTGACTTGTGATTGACAACATGACATTGCCTGAAACGTCGTTCTTTGCTGTGCCACCAAAAGATATATAAACGTTACGTTTGTGCAAAAAAAGTATTAGAGAGCTTTAAAGCAACGATCATGGCGACGGCGAGGACGACGCCAACCTAAAAATGAATTTATATTTTACCAACGAAATTCGCAATTCTCTAGATCTGTTCAGTACGCCAATGGCTCTGAAAACGTGCTCAGAATAAATATGCAATGACGGCGTTCAATTCCAAATGGAAGTACGAAAAATTAGCCGTCGTTGTTCGCGTTCCTCAGACGACGCAGAACTTGGTCATTTCACGTTGTTGTTTTGCAGAGGACGGCAAAGAATTGTACAAAGATTTATAACGCACGTGCACAGCTATTGCTTTGCTCATTAAACCTTTTGTTTGGTGACGTTCTCGTTGCCGTCGTCTAAGCTACCTATTAAAATAACCACGCATCGCACCTCATAGTTTCAAAGCTATTCTTTTTGGAATTTATGCCTCAGCGCCAATTTCGTTTGATTTCCCTCATGGACGTTCACCTTTAATGTCTGAAATGTCATATGGCGCCCATTGTCGTCCTTTTCGCGTGTCTTCAAACCATAATCTTTAGTAAAAGTCATCTTGTGTGACACCTGTCACAGGTCTTCCAATGTTTATGTCACGCAGTTTTCACTAACATTCACGGTAGTAGAACTTTAGACTGGGTGAAGATTGAGTTATAAGAGTGATAACGATTCGGTTTGTTACTGTTGCTTTCAGTCGAACGCATGACAGACCCAGCTTTCTACCATTAAAAAAAAGATGCCATACATTTGCAGGAGCCCATTACCCTAACATTTGTCATCTGATCGCTCATTTGATATTGTTTTTTTATTTATTTTCCCAGGTAGATAAGGTGTCAATTAAGAATTAGGAACAATGACCACTACTACCCAACGTCTTGTAGATTACTATCAGTGGGTCATTGAAAATGGCGGTAAGTATTTTAACATTCGTCATTATTATTATTCAGTATTATTACAGTACCTGCTTGCTGGCTTGCCTCCTTGCCCACCTAACTACTTATTCAAACCTACCTACCAACCAACCTTGTTGTTTTCGATCGCTTCTAATCTGGTATGGTTCTTTCTTTTTCACCTGATTTCAGACCCTAAGACTGAAGAATGGCCCATGATTGCCACTCCATGGCCCACTATTTCTCTGGTGGCCATCTATCTGTTCATTGTGAAAGTTGGACCCAAGGTCATGGAGAATAGGAAAGCTTACAGCCTAAGAGAAGTGCTCATAGTCTACAACATGGCACTTGTTGCTCTGTCGGCCTGGATGGTGTACGAAGTAAGTACAGCGCTCGAATCAGTTGTAAATAAGCCTGTTGTTTAAGTTCCTAACCCAGCCGAGCTGCATTGGTTGGCGATTTTCCAAATTTGCCATGTTTTCATCTTGGCAGCGTTTACACTGCGCCGGAGAAACTTGAAAACGAAGCTTTATTTCTACGGTTAGGCCTACCGTCCACACTAAGCCGTCACGAAAACGCTCCTCGAACCGGAGGAATTTGAAAACGCCAGCTTTTCGTTTTCGTGTGGACAGAAAACATTTTGACCGAGTTTTCCTCAAACACAAATCGGAAATAACTGGTGATTGCTGCGTTTTTAAATTCCTCCGGCGTAGTCTTTGCGTGAAGTCAATCTACTGTCCAGCAAATAGGTGTAAATATCGTCAAGAAAGTGAGGAAGTTGTCTCAATGTAGTACGTACCAACGTTTAAGAAATGTGTGACATTCATGCCGGAAATGAGAATGAATATGTCGATTTGAAGCAATTTTGTTCAAAGTTTTGACAGCTTCAGACATTAGTTTTCACCTCCGCTTATTCACAGATGTGGTATGTATAAATGGTTCTTATTTAAGTTGGAAGACATTTGCTAACTAGGGTTTCTTGTTTACTTTACTGTCCAGTTCATTGCCTCAGTCCTGGATATCCCAAACTTCAATCTTCTTTGTGAGCGCGTCCCTTATGTCCGTGATGACCCAAGACAAACTAGGGTAGGTAACTTTTTAGGAACGAAGACTCGTATTTTATGAAACCTCAACTGTTAGTACAGCAAATCCCTCCTCAGCGAAGGATGACCGAATGAAAGAAATGTTCAAGAAAACTCCTTTAAGATTTAGTACTTTTCAAGGTAAAGCCAAGAAATGCGTTTAGAAGTCGAAAAACGTCCAAAATTTCACTTGCGGTGCTCAAGTTTAATAACTTTTCGAACTAAAGTGTAATCTGAATATCATTTTAACACGGGATGTAATTGGTGTCAAAAGCGGGTCGGAAGAGATCATTTCCAATAAGTCCTTATCCCTAAGCAGCAGTTAATGATGATTACTGGATTAACTGGTGAAATTGCCAACCGTCTGAATGTTAAAAAGAATCGAGACGAACGCGGAATGTCGAGTGAAGTGTACGATGAATGACATAGAAAAGTACCAATACTGTAGTCTTGGTTTTTGAAATACGCTAAAAGCGCGAATAGAATTCATTTTAATTGTTTTTCCCTTTCTTGTTCTTGTCCACAGCTGGCTCGAGTTTGTTACATTTATTATCTGTCCAAGTTTGTGGAGTATCTAGA